GGGTTTAGCCTCTGTTAGTCAGGGTGTCACCTGGGGTTAGGTTCTGTTAGGCAGGGTGTCACCTGGGTTTAGCCTCTGTTAGTCAGGGTGTCACCTGGGGTTAGGTTCTGTTAGGCAGGGTGTCACCTGGGGTTAGGTTCTGTTAGGCAGGGTATCACCTGGGGTTAGGTTCTGTTAGTCAGGGTGTCACCTGGGTTTAGGTTCTGTTAGGCAGGGTGTCACCTGGGGTTAGGTTCTGTTAGGCAGGGTGTCACCTGGGTTTAGGTTCTGTTAGGCAGGGTGTCACCTGGGGTTAGGTTCTGTTAGTCAGGGTGTCACCTGGGTTTAGGTTCTGTTAGGCAGGGTGTCACCTGGGGTTAGGTTCTGTTAGTCAGGGTGTCACCTGGGTTTAGGTTCTGTTAGGCAGGGTGTCACCTGGGGTTAGGTTCTGTTAGTCAGGGTGTCACCTGGGGTTAGGTTCTGTTAGGCAGGGTGTCACCTGGGTTTAGGTTCTGTTAGGCAGGGTGTCACCTGGGGTTAGGTTCTGTTAGGCAGGGTGTCACCTGGGGTTAGGTTCTGTTAGGCAGGGTGTCACCTGGGTTTAGGTTCTGTTAGGCAGGGTGTCACCTGGGGTTAGGTTCTGTTAGGCAGGGTGTCACCTGGGGTTAGGTTCTGTTAGTCAGGGTGTCACCTGGGTTTAGGTTCTGTTAGGCAGGGTGTCACCTGGGGTTAGGTTCTGTTAGTCAGGGTGTCACCTGGGTGTAGCCTCTGTTAGTCAGGGTGTCACCTGGGTGTAGGCTCTGTTAGTCAGGGTGTCACCTGGGTTTAGCCTCTGTTAGTCAGGGTGTCACCTGGGTTTAGCCTCTGTTAGGCAGGGTGTCACCTGGGTGTAGGCTCTGTTAGTCAGGGTGTCACCTGGGTGTAGGCTCTGTTAGTCAGGGTGTCACCTGGGTGTAGGCTCTGTTAGTCAGGGTGTCACCTGGGTTTAGGCTCTGTTAGGCAAGGTGTCACCTGGGTGTAGCCTCTGTTAGTCAGGGTGTCACCTGGGTGTAGCCTCTGTTAGTCAGGGTGTCACCTGGGTGTAGCCTCTGTTAGTCAGGGTGTCACCTGGGTGTAGGCTCTGTTATTCACCTAACCTGTTTCAGAAAATCAAACAAATAATGTTATATACAATTTATCGTTTGTTAAAAACGACATTATCTTAAACTATTTTATTAAATGTCTTCAGATATTAGGTATATCCATTAGTCTATCTATTTGAAGGTTGACATGTTTTCTGCTGTAATTGGCAGTCTTCTCACTACGTAGAGTTGTCTGTGTCTGCCACCAGCGAGCCTATTATGTCTCTCATCATCAGGTTTGGTTAATTGGAAAAGAAATAGTTTTTTTCAATAACTTTTGTGTGCATCAAACACAAGTTGGAGGATTATTAATTTACATATGATGCTGCTTGACTTCTTCCTGTTTGGCCTTGTTGATGCCTCGGATGCTCGATTTACGGGTTTTCGAAGAGGCTGTTTTCCTATTTCACTAAAAATGTTTTAGCAACACTTCGGTCAGTCAATCTTCAGCTATCCAGAGAATCTATAGAAAATGATGCTCCTACAGGAGAGGACACAGAGAAATCTGTGCCCTGTACTTGCAACCGTTCCGACAGGCTCGAACGCAGGTCTGTTCATTGTCTGGAACGCGTGCTGTAAGGTGGTTGGGTGGGCAGGGCACTGGGGCGGCTACCCTGGTGGCCTAGGATCGAATCCTTGAGGGATCACTCGAGTTAACCTTAAACAAATGCTGTTTGGGAACCATTCCAGCTTAACACACATTATATATGTATGTGTCTTTGTGTGTAGCCATGTCAATTTTAGTTATAAATGGTGACATATTGATGCCATTTGTCGTTCTCTGTCTTAAGCTCTCCTCATTCACTCGCTACACGCTCCCTCCTCCCCTCTCCTCCTGTGACCCCCTCACTTCTCCCTTCCCTCTCCTCCTCCTGTATCCCCTCACCTCTCTCTCCCCTCTCCTCCTCCAGTGTCCCCTCACCTCTCCCTCCCCTCTCCTCCTCCAGTGTCCCCTCACCTCTCCCTCCCCTCACCTCTCCCTCCCCTCACCTCTCCCTCCCCTCTCCTCCTCCAGTGTCCCCTCACCTCTCTCTCCCCTCTCCTCCTCCCGTGTCCCCTCACCTCTCCCTCCCCTCTCATTACACCCACCTCCGCTCCCCACCCCTGGCCAGGCCGGGGGAAACAAGGCCTCACCAATTAACAATCCGACTGGATATTTTTCCCTTGATGTGCTGTTTTCCCCTCACTAACCTGATATTGATTTTGTCCTAAGTGGCACAATTAATCCAACTGCCTGTCCTCTCCCTCTCTCTCCCTTACCACTCTTCTTCTTCTGTGCTCTTCTCCCCCTTTCCTTCCCTACGCCCCTCTTCCCTCTTCCTCTCCTTACTCCTCTCCAATCGTGGTGTTGGGCTCTCTCACTTATTTTATTTATGTTCTCTGTTGCTTTTCATGTTTGTTGATTTGTTTATGAGCTGCAAGATTATTCTAGTGTGTGGTCACCTAGTTGTTCTTGAACGGTCGAGCTTCCGCTCCTAAGCCCCGGTCGTCGGTTTACCAGTGGAGTGATAGTTACTGCGTGAATCTGTTCATATTTACTTATGAACAGAAACACGCAAACTCTATCGGCCGCAGATACTCTAGCGGCCGATAGAGTTTGCTTCAACGACATCCTGTTATAATCTCCTGCGTTCCTTCACGTGTCTCACGGTGGAGAAAGATTTCCTGATGTCCCTGTGGCTCATCGGCTGCTGTTCCCTTCTGCTAATTGTGTACGTCGTTATCATGTCTCCTTTTAAAATCAAGTTATCGCAAAGTAAGTTGATGAACTACCATGATCTGCTCCAGGGATATTTCAGATGTTCAGTTCTTCAGACCATTCATGCCCTACAGTTCATCCCTCTCAACTCTGGGACAAGCGTTGCACCATATCTGTTCTTTCTATATTTGCACTGATTTTTTTCTGATCAATAATTCCTCGCTGAAGCTGCGTATGTTGAAGTTAGCATTATTTAGAATTATTTGTGTGATGTTGTAATGGCTCGGCACTTTCTCCTGATAGCTCTCTTCCCTTTATCTGTGATCCTGGGAGTTATCCCGTCACTTGTTAATCTGCTAATGTTATTTGTTACTGAAGGCTGACGCCCCTCCATCTTATGCTGCTCCTGTGGTCTCCTAGCTCTTGTTTTAACCTTCATAAGTTTACATTTTTCAGAGTTGAACTCTAGTAGCCATTTGTCAGATCATCTCTGAAGTTTGTTTGGGCCCTTTTGCAATCCCTCACGGCCTTACGCTCTCTGTATCCTTTTCCTTAATTTTGCATCATCTGCAAATGTACATTTTAACGAATTCAAGTCACTTGCATATATTTAGGTATCCTAACGTCTACTCTTTCACTATGACCCTTTTGCTGCCTATCAGAGAGGTACTCTCATATCCAATCGAGCAATTTTGTTGCCACTCTGATCACTTCTCGAGTTGTTTGATAGTCTGCTGTTCAGGTCAAAGACCAAACACTTTTTTTTTGACAGTCAAGTTTTGCCAGCTCCCACAGTCTTGTTGCTTAGCTGTCAAACTGTACACGACTGTGTGTACTCTGTTGCCTGCACTGCAAACAGCTGTGTGTACCCACCGGCACTTCAGCCTATATAATCTCTTGTTTGCAATTAGCTTAACGCGGGAACAGGTTTGGTATAATCAACCGGCCGGCCGGTGTTGGCGCCGGCACCCTTCCCTCTCTCCCCTCGTGTGGGTTATGGTCTATACACTCACTCATGTTACTCATGTTACTCATGCTCCCTCGTGTTACTCACGCTCCCTCGTGTTACTCATGCTCCCTCATGTTACTCACGCTCCCTCATGTTACTCATGCTCCCTCATGTTACTCACGCTCCCTCATGTTACTCACGCTCCCTCATGTTACTCACGCTCCCTCATGTTACTCATGCTCCCTCATGTTACTCATGCTCCCTCGTGTTACTCATGCTCCCTCATGTTACTCACGCTCCCTCATGTTACTCCATGCTCCCTCATGTTACTCATGCTCCCTCATGTTACTCATGCTCCCTCATGTTACTCATGCTCCCTCATGTTACTCATGCTCCCTCGTGCTACTCATGCTCCCTCATGTTACTCACGCTCCCTCATGTTACTCACGCTCCCTCATGTTACTCATGCTCCCTCATGTTACTCATGCTCCCTCATGTTACTCATGCTCCCTCATGTTACTCATGCTCCCTCGTGTTACTCATGCTCCCTCATGTTACTCACGCTCCCTCATGTTACTCATGCTCCCTCATGTTACTTACGCTCCCTCATGTTACTCATGCTCCCTCATGTTACTCATGCTCCCTCGTGTTACTCATGCTCCCTCATGTTACTCATGCTCCCTCGTGTTACTCATGCTCCCTCATGTTACTCATGCTCCCTCATGTTACTCATGCTCCCTCATGTTACTCATGCTCCCTCATGTTACTCATGCTCCCTCATGTTACTCATGCTCCCTCATGTTACTCATGCTCCCTCATGTTAGTCATGCTCCCTCATGTTACTCATGCTCCCTCGTGTTACTCATGCTCCCTCATGTTACTCACGCTCCCTCATGTTACTCATGCTCCCTCATGTTACTCATGCTCCCTCATGTTACTCATGCTCCCTCATGTTACTCATGCTCCCTCGTGTTACTCATGCTCCCTCATGTTACTCATACTCCCTCATGTTACTCATGCTCCCTCATGTTACTCATGCTCCCTCATGTTACTCATGCTCCCTCATGTTACTCATGCTCCCTCATGTTACTCACGCTCCCTCATGTTACTCATGCTCCCTCATGTTACTCATGCTCCCTCATGTTACTCATGCTCCCTCATGCTCTCTCCTCGTTGCTGAAATTTGAAAGAAAACTTGAATTTATTATTACTATTTCATTATTTCCCAACTTGATTACCATTTTAAATTGTCATGACGTCAGGCGTCGCTACACTGGCATCAGACCCGGGGTCAAGGGGTCAGTCGGGGGTCACACGGGGTCAAGGGGTCAGCCGGGGCCACACGGGGTCAAGGGGTCAGCCGGGGCCATACGGGGTCAAGGGGTCAGCCGGGGCCACACGGGGTCAAGGGGTCAGCCGGGGACCACACGGGGTCAAGGGGTCAGCCGGGGCCACACGGGGTCAAGGGGTCAGCCGGGGCCACACGGGGTCAAGGGATCAGCCGGGGGTCACACGGGGTCAAGGGGTCAGCCGGGGCCACACGGGGTCAAGGGGTCAGCCGGGGCCACACGGGGTCAAGGGGTCAGCCGGGGGTCACACGGGGTCGAGGGGTCAGCCGGGGCCACACGGGGTCAAGGGGTCAGCCGGGGCCACACGAGATCATGGGGCCACACGGGGTCAAGGAGTCACACGGGGTCCAGGAGTCAGCCGGGGTCACACGGAGTCAGCCAGGGCCACACGGGGTCAAGGGGTCAGCCAGGGCCACACGGGGTCAAGGGGTCAGCCAGGGCCACACGGGGTCAAGGGGTCAGCCAGGGCCACAAGGGGTCAGCCGGAGCCACACGGGGTCAAGGGGTCAGCCAGAGCCACACGGGGTCAAGGGGTCAGCCGGGGTCACACGGGGTCAAGGGGTCAGCCGGGGTCACACGGGGTCAGCCGGGGTCACACGGGGTCATGGGGTCAGCCGGGGCCACACGGGGTCAAAGGGTCAGCCAGGGCCACACGGGGTCAAGGGGTCAGCCGGGGCCACACGGGGTCAAGGGGTCAGCCTGGGCCACACGGGGTCAAGGGGTCAGCCAGGGCCACACGGGGTCAAGGGGTCAGCCAGGGCCACACGGGGTCAATGGGTCAGCCGGGGCCACACGGGGTCAAGGGGTCAGCCGAGGCCACACGGGGTCAGCCAGGGCCACACGGGGTCAAGGGGTCAGCCGGGGTCACACGGGGTCAAGGGGTCACAGGGGGTCAAGGGGTCAGCCGGGGTCAGCCAGGGCCACACGGGGTCAGCCGGGGTCACACGGGGTCAAGGGGTCAGCCGGGGTCACACGGACAGCAACACTACAGGATGCGGCTGACGACCAAGAGCGTGAGCATAATAGTGGTGTGAGCAGCGCTCTTAATGTTATGGAATGTGTATCAGAATCGGATTATTAAAGCTGACATCTTGCGGGAGCCGGGGGAGTTATTCCAGCTTTCCTGCTGCCACCCGCTGGCCTGCTGCCACCCGCTGGCCTGCTGCCACCCGCTGGCCTGCTGCCACCCGCTCAGCCAGCTGCTGGCCTGCTGCCACCCGCTCAGCCAGCTGCTGGCCTGCTGCCACCCGCTCAGCCAGCTGCTGGCCTGCTACCACCCGCTCAGCCAGCTGCTGGCCTGCTACCACCCGCTCAGCCAGCTGCTGGCCTGCTACCACCCGCTCAGCCAGCTGCTGGCCTGCTACCACCCGCTCTGCCAGCTGCTGGCCTGCTGCCACCCGCTCTGCCAGCTGCTGGCCTGCTACCACCCGCTCTGCCAGCTGCAGGCCTGCTACCACCCGCTCAGCCAGCTGCTGGCCTGCTGCCACCCGCTCAGCCAGCTGCTGGCCTGCTACCACCCGCTCTGCCAGCTGCAGGCCTGCTACCACCCGCTCAGCCAGCTGCTGGCCTCCTACCACCCGCTCAGCCAGCTGCTGGCCTCCTACCACCCGCTCTTTACCCAGTGATCATTCCAATTCCCACATCAGACTGGAATGTCACCCCCCCTCTCTTCCAGCTTCCCCCCCCCCTTCTCTTCCAGCTGATCTCTGTTGATACTGATCAGCTGTTGAGGAGATCCCAGCTGATCCTTCGTGGTCTGGGAAGAGAACAGCCAAACAAGAATCTTTTCACGTTAAGAGAATTCATGTGGGGGAAAATGTTGTAGGATTTTTATAGCTCAAAAACAAAATTTTAGTAACTCAGGAATAAACATTAATAAAAACAGAAGCTCAGTCATTTATTGAATATAAAATTGTAAGAAGACTTGAATTGCAATCGAAAAATACACAATAATTTATTGAAATAAAATTCTTATCCTATCGCTTATGTTTCAGAAAGTAGCAAACTTTTGCACACTGCCCCCTTGGTGCTCATACTCGCCCCTTGGCGCTCACACTCGCCCCCCTTGGTGCTCACACTCGCCACCCTTGGTGCTCACACTCGCCCCCCTTGGTGCTCACACTCGCCACCCTTGGCGCTCACACTCGCCCCCCTTGGTGCTCACACTCTCCCCCTTGGTGCTCACACTCGCCCCCTTGGTGCTCACACTCGCCCCCCTTGGTGCTCACACTCGCCCCCCTTGGCGCTCACACTCGCCCCCCTTGGTGCTCACACTCGCCCCCCTTGGCGCTCACACTCGCCACCCTTGGCGCTCACACTCGCCCCCCTTGGTGCTCACACTCGCCCCCCTTGGTGCTCACACTCGCCACCCTTGGTGCTCACACTCTCCCCCCTTGGTGCTCACACTCGCCCCCCTTGGCGCTCACACTCGCCCCCCTTGGTGCTCACACTCGCCCCCTTGGTGCTCACACTCGCCCCCCTTGGTGCTCACACTCGCCCCCTTGGTGCTCACACTCGCCCCCTTGGTGCTCACACTCGCCCCCCTTGGTGCTCACACTCGCCCCCCTTGGCGCTCACACTCGCCCCCTTGGCGCTCACACTCGCCACCTTGGCGCTCACACTCGCCCCCCTTGGCGCTCACACTCGCCCCCCTTGGTGCTCACACTCGCCCCCCTTGGTGCTCACACCAACTTTATTTTATTATTATTATTACTTTTTATATACATTTGATGAGCTGTCTTTGGGGGGTTATATAAGGGGGGGTTATATAAGGGGGGGGGGGGGGTTATATAAGGGGGGTTATATAAGGGGGGGTTATATAAGGGGGGGTTATATAAGGGGGGGGGGTTATATAAGGGGGGTTATATAAGGGGGGTTATATAAGGGGGGGTTATATAAGGGGGGTTATATAAGGGGGGTATTGCTTTACTTGTCTGAGAGCAATGGTCGGAAGTGTTCAAAAAAGTTTGCTATTACGAACAGAGGTTTCCAACATCTTGCTGTTGTTGAACTTCTGAACATTGAACGTTCATACAGTCCCGGAAAAATGCAGTCTGTCCAGCTCTCTCTCTCTCACCTGTTTAACTGTTGACAACTTCTCATGCAACTCTTATGGTTAGTTGGTCAAGCAAGAGTTTCCTTTTGTCGAGTTGTTGTTCTTGTTTCTTGGAAGCAAAATTCATGTTCTGAATGATCGATGAATTCTTTTTGTTTAGTCGTTCAAATAGTTTACAAGAGGTGTATGCTGTATGTGTGTGTGTGTGTGTGTGTGTGTGTGTGTGTGTGTGTACTCACCTATATGTACTCACCTATATGTGCTTGCAGGATCGAGCATTGACTCTTGGATCCCGCCTTTCGAGCATCGGTTGTTTACAGCAATGACTCCTGTCCCATTTCCCTATCATACCTGGTTTTAAAATTGTGAATAGTATTTGCTTCCACAACCTGTTCCTGAAGTGCATTCCATTTCCCCACTACTGTCACGCTAAAAGAAAACTTCCTTACATCTCTGTGACTCATCTGAGTTTCAAGCTTCCATCCATGTCCTCTCGTTCTGTTACTATTCCGTGTGAACATTTCGTCTATGTCCACTCTGTCAATTCCTCTGAGTATCTTATACGTTCCTATCATGTCCCCCCTCTCCCTTCTTCTTTCTAGTGTCGTAAGGCACAGTTCCCTCAGGCGCTCTTCATACCCCATCCCTCGTAGCTCTGGGACGAGTCTCGTTGCAAACCTCTGAACCTTTTCCAGTTTCATTATATGCTTCTTCAGATGGGGACTCCATGATGAGGCGGCATACTCTAAGACTGGCCTTACGTAGGCAGTGTAAAGCGCCCTAAATGCCTCCTTACTTAGGTTTCTGAATGATGTTCTAACTTTTGCCAGTGTAGAGTACGCTGCTGTCGTTATCCTATTAATATGTGCCTCAGGAGATAGATTAGGTGTTACGTCCACCCCCAGGTCTCTTTCACGCGTCGTTACAGGTAGGCTGTTCCCCTTCATTGTGTACTGTCTGTGTGTGTGTGTGTGTGTGTGTGTGTGTGTAACTAACAATTTAGGGACTTCAACAAATGAAACACTATACATTTTCAATGTGTTTTATTAATACCATCTGCCATCATAATGTACAAACATGGTAGACAGCTGGAAGAGTGACAGATCACCCGCCTCCCTCCAGGACACAGCTCTCCTCTTGGCTCACAACAGCGGCCCCAGCCACACCGCGACGTCACGCGCACCCAACTGACATCAGAGCACCCACCGGACATCACAGAAATTCCAATGATGCCACCAGAGACCCCCCCTGTGTGAGCAGGGAGTCCACGACTTCAGGAGAACGCATGTGATGTCAGAGGAACACCGAGACTTCGTCTGAAGTATATATATATACCTGGCTGAGACGACATCTTCCAACGTGACGTCTCTTTTAAGTTCTCTGAATAGTCTCCGGTGTCGTGTAGGGAGACTATTCTGTCTTGGCCAATCAGAATGATGGAAATAACTGTGTATTATATAGGATGTCTTCCTACAACTTTTTTGCCAGCTTATAAATAAATGTCTCTCTTATAAGGTACACCGTGTATAACCCCTCGAGAACAACCGGGTTGTGGTTGACAACAAAGAAATCTATCACCGTTCGATTCGTATAAAAAAAAAAAATCTGGAAACATAGACTAGAAGCGACTTGCCGCCCGGCAACCACTCGTATATAACAAAACACCCCGACGACATACACTCACAGGCAGACTGTGCGTCTTCTCGCGTTCGTGAGAACGGATTGCTGCGGATTCGGCGGGACGTCACTGTCGTTCTCTTCACTGATTGGTTGACTCGGATATTTACAAGTGTGACGTCACCTCCTCCATGCTATGGGCTCTACACGAACGCCAATTTGCTGCAAGTCTCCGGCAGTTGCTGATTGTAAATTTAATTCAGAATCCATTTATCTTTACATTAGAAAAACAAAATTGTGATGATATATATATTATATATATAATTTCTTTTATTTCTTTTGGAAGATATCTTGGACACGTTAGACTAACCAACAGACTAGTAATGGGCAACTGCCGATGACGTCACAACGCCACAAACAAAGGGTAAACAAGAGGAGTTTACATCAGATGGAACAATTACATTAGTGAACCACACAGGTCTCGCCCTCACATTTGTACGTTTTTAACTGCCCGAAGGTTTATTTTTGCTTTGATTACATGTCTTCACCAGTCTCTAAAACTATCGCGATTGTTCTGGCGATAAACAATCGACATGAATTGGTTTACTGCTTCGTTCACTGTGATGAGTGGAGCAAGGGAGGGGCCCTGCTCACTCCTGCACCTCCGTCACCCCAGCTCCGCCCTTCCTTACACCCCCGGACGCGTAGAAATTCTGTGATCAAACAGCGTAAAGTAACAACATCCTGGAAAGGCTACAATGCTTTGTGATTTTCCTTCCCCCACAGGCAGGACTTCTCCCCCCACAGGCAGGACTTATCCCCCACAGGCAGGACTTATTCCCCCACAGGCAGGACTTCTCCCCCCACAGGCAGGACTTCTCCCCCCACAGACAGGACTTATTCCCCCACAAAGGCAGGACTTATCCCCCCACAGGCAGGACTTATCCCCCCACAGGCAGGACTTCTCCCCCCACAGGCAGGACTTCTCCCCCCACAGGCAGGACTTCTCCCCCACAGGCAGGACTTCTCCCCCACAGGCAGGACTTCTTCCCCCACAGGCAGGACTTATCCCCCACAGGCAGGACTTATTCCCCCACAAAGGCAGGACTTCTCCCCCCACAGGCAGGACTTCTCTCCCTAACTCTCCCTGGCATGATCGCTGTTCTCTTACGTTCATAAGAGTTTATGAGTTATTTTGGGGTCATTTGATTTCACTGAGACTTTTTGATTTGACTCGCCAATTTCCGTACGACATTCACCCCCTTGATGTAAATACCAATATTAAATTTGAGGAGATTTACAGTAACATTGTTACATAAGCGTTAACTGCTCCGTTGATTACTTGTCGTATGGCGTTCTTAACAACGAGAGACTCCAGTCGCCTGATTAACTAATTGACTGAACCCCTTCAGCCTTGGAGGTCTGTTGTTCCTCTCTTGCCCCGACGGTGAGTGAGGTGCCGCTACGGTCGCTTGGCCACACTAAACAAATATAAACAACGTCCTTGATGCTCTCTCTCTCTCTCTAGGGAAATCAAGGAAACATTCAAGATAAGAAAGATAAGGACAAAGCCACGAGATGATGACGCCTACATCATTATCATCTTTCTTCTTCTCCTTCATTACCACCACAGGGACGACCTCGTACCGCCCTCACCACAGGGACGACCTTGTACCGTCCTCACCAGGGGTTCCAGGGTCGTGTATTGGTATTCAATTACACTTTATTTTGACATTCGGCCTTATGTTAACCCGCCAGTATCCAGGTCCTGATCTAGTTATGTCTTCAGTCAGGCCCACCACAGCCAGGCCTCACCACAGCCAGGCCTCACCACAGCCAGGCCTCACCACAGCCAGGCCTCACCACAGCCAGGCCCACCACAGCCAGGCCTCACCACAGCCAGGCCCCACCACAGCCAGGCCTCACCACAGCCAGGCCCCACCACAGCCAGGCCTCACCACAGCCAGGCCTCACCGCAGCCAGGCCTCACCACAGCCAGGCCCCACCACAGCCAGGCCTCACCACAGCCAGGCCTCACCGCAGCCAGGCCTCACCACAGCCAGGCCCCACCACAGCCAGGCCCACCACAGCCAGGCCCACCACAGCCACACAGCATCTAATTGCGACTGGAGGAGGCCAGGGTGTCAAAGGAAGGACAGTGACGGAGGATATCTTCACTTAGAGCATAACTGAGTGTGTCAACAGCGACGACTGGCGGAAGGTGTTCATCAGGACGATATCTCTTCACCCTCACTGCGCAGCTTCCCATTTTCTAGTACTTTGTCCCGCTGTGGCGTTTCCTGTGGGAGCGTTCTCTCTGTGGTGGTGGTGGGGGGCGAGGCGGGGTGAGATGAAGAACTGTTCACAGTGAACATTCCCAGGGGAACAGTGGTCGGGGAGCCTCTGGGGAGGAGGGGCTGGGGCGGGGAGGTAGCGGCACCACTCACAGTGTGGGCTTTGTTCATAGTGGTGCCTAGCAGTGCCTTGGGTGGGGAGTGGGTCGGTATGGGTTTGATGAGGGCGCCGACAGGGGGCCTCGGCGTCGTCGCTGTTAGGCTTTTGTAGTTGAGGCTGACGGTCGTCGGGACGACCTCCTTGATGACAATGTGGTCGTTGAAGGTGATGGCGGTGGGTGTGGTGATGGGGTCCGGCTTGCCGGGGGTGTGGTCGGGGAGGGTGTCCTGAGGCAGGTCCGGCCGTGGGGAGGGGCCCAGGGCCGCCTCCCCACGTGATGTCTCGTCGCTGCTCGACAGGTCGCTCGTAGCTCCGTTACTCAACTGGAAAGGAAAACAAAGTGAATCAACAAATGATCGTGGGAAACGCTACGAGTCATCAGCCGCTAAATGACCCACCAGTAACAACCTGTGAAGAGTAGTTATGGTCAACCTGTGAGAGCCTAATTGGTTTCTCCTTAATTATTCTGCATGGGTTCCCCTCAAGGGGGCGAGCTTACCCAGTCACTGTACTGGGGTTGGTAGTGTCGACACGTGGACCCATTCATGGGGTCTGGATATTTAGGAACATTTGTGGTTGCAAAGACAAACAAATAATGACATTAATATTCTTAAACAACGCGTACACCCTCTCAGTGGGAAGTCAAAAACAAACAAAATAATGTTAATAATAGAGTGGCTATATTGCTATATGTGTGTGTGTGTGTGTGTGTGTGTGTGTGTGTGTTTGTTTCAGTACTGTAATACCTGAAGTTTGCTTAAGGTGGTTGTTTGGTGTCACTATAGTGGGGTCTCGCTAGTGGGGTCCCACAACTGGGGTCTCGGTAGTGGGGTCCCACAACTGGGGTCTCGCTAGTGGGGTCTCTCCAGAGCACGATAAACGTTCAAGATAACATTTGAGTTTGATAACAAACACCTCCACATATCAATCCTGTTTCCTTAAGCCATATCCGGACATGTCTTCACTAATTTGTCAAGCCATTAGATCCCTTCCTGTCACGACTCCCAGCTCCTCTTCACACTCGGGTTTACCAACGACTCTTTACGGGCTCACCATAGCCCGTGCTACTTGGAACTTGTTCCGAGTAGCTGAATCTATAACAACAACCAACGACTCTTTCGTCTATCTCGCATCTTGTTCTTGACTTTTCTTATGCCAAGACCCAGGATGGTACATTTCTGAGTGAAGGAGAGTGAACCTCCACAGGCTGATTTTTGAGATTGAAAATATTTTGTCTTAGGCGCATATTTTAGTATTTTCAGTATAAGGTTTTCTTGATACACCATAAGTAATCTCGCTCTTTTCAGCTTTAGTTTTTTTGGTCCCAAACTTCCTTAGAAACAATGTACTTATTTAAATTTGGTGATAATATATAATTTCCTTCTCTGGTTTAGTGACGCACAATTACTATTAGTCCATAACTTAGCCATTTTGACTTTTGCGTGAGGTACACACACATAATTCCATAGAGAAGATTTCAAACGGCTATCAAAATAATCTTTGAACTTTGGGTATTTGTAAAAGTAACATGAGATTGATGATTCCCCTTTCAAACTGATCCTCACAAACACTTCTTACTAGTCCACTTTTATAAAAAAAAATCTTTTTGATACAAATCCTCTCCGAGTTTGTTCAACCATTATCATCAGTTAAATAGTGCCCAACATTTTCCTTTAAGTGCACAATAACAATGTTGACTTCATAAGTGCCTTTCTTAAAGCGACTTCTTGATCACTACCAATCATTACGCTTGAGTTATTAATACAGTCTGCGAGTTTGCCTCTTAGGTGGTAGAAAAATGATAAGTCTCGTATTCACCATCGCAGTGTAAATACATGGGCCCGAGGAATATAGGGTTGTTTGAGGTTTCTTTTGTCATTACAGTAGCATTCTTGTACACAATTGTTGTTAAATAACAAGGGCCAAGATTGATAGTCCTGTCAACACCGATGACATTAGGATTTTCCTTTCCTACAGCACACAAATGTTTGAAATCTTCAAATTGTTCCTTGGAATACATTATCACACAGAGGACTTTGTTCTTCTTATGAATCATCTCCTGTACATAATCATGAGTATCTATCATGCTAATTACTTTTAAAACGTCATCAACAACATTCTGCCTATGGATAGGTTTGCGTTCCTTTTTGCGTGCACTTGCAGCTGCTCCCGTGGGGTGGTGTAGGGAACCATCAGTGCATATGGTTTGAGAGAATGATCTGTGGACAGAGCATCAGTATGGCGTAAGGTATTGGGCTTTGCATCAAGACGAAGCATAATTCAGAGCCCGCATATCAGTGACAAAAATTACATTAAAAATTGACCCCATGATACATACATAATCACATTTTAAACATTTCAATTGCATTAATTGCATATGTAACATTAGGAAGTTCTGTTTATATCGGTAAGTTATTAGCTTATATGAACTAATATCTAGTGAGGCTTGTATATTGGATACATCCGGTCTCCTACCCGCGACCGCGGCGGTAACTTTATGGTCAGGAAGCCACAAATATTTGTAATGGGGGCTCGGTCAGTCAATATGTTTCCTTTGACATCACTAAACTTGTCTTCTGCTCTTATATTGACAATTTGAATTATATCAAGAACATCTTGAATATCCTCTGGCATAGATAGTGCTATAGTTCAGTTGTTCATGACCTGTCCAGTGGGTCGAGACTGGCTAATGAATTGATCCTCTCACTTCAAAAGGTGGGAAGTAATGAACAATGTATGATAAGGAGAGCATATATATATGAGTACCTTATGCTGTAATGTTATAAAGTATGATGTTATTACAGAGTGTATTGCTGTACCTAAGAGACAATTCACACCACCATGGGAGGATTGTAATGTAGATGTAGTAATTATTCCCTTGCAAAAGAAAAAAAGTATGTATGAAATAGGAGAGCTGAGGGCAACATATGATTGTATAATTAGAAAATTACGCACAGAAAACACTCTACATGTATATTGTGATGAGTCAGTAGCTAGGGATGGGAAGGCAGGATGTGGAGTCTTTATGTGCTTGTCTTGGAAGCTAGACGTAGATATGTAAGAATACTTAGCAAGAGGGTAAATATAAAAATGTTGTGGATTCCTTCTCACATTGGCATGCAGGAACATGACAAAGTTGACGCCCTTGCTAAGGCTGCAGTAAATAAAGACAGTATTGAACGGAATTTTGAGTTATCAAATAGGTCCCTTAAAAGTGTCATTAGACGAGAACTCCTGGATGAATTTGAAGAAAGTAGAACAGTGCAAACTGGAACTAGCAGGTCCATTGTTCATCACAATGAAATGTGTGAAGTAAAACATGTGTATGGGGCAAGTAACAAAGTCAGTAGACTAACAGATGTTGTCACAGCTCGTATAAGACTTGGCTACAAGTATCTCTGGCAGTTCGGCTTGTATAGGGATCTAGATGAAGTAAAGTGTAAAGTGTGTGGACAAAGACAGGGACACACACTCAAACACTATATCTTGGATTGTAGTAAAATTGAGCCTTTTAGAGATAAGTCTAAGCTCACTCTGTATGATATGGCAACCTATCTTATTACCATGGATAAATTACCTGAAATCCTTGCACTGTATCCATATTTCGCTTCCAGTAGATGAACGACATATGAGATTCAGAAACAAGTAGTGTATTGTGAAGACTTATAATAAACAGAAGCTACCCTATGACTATCCCCATTGGTCAACTCATAAGTATTAGCGATAAGACCTACCATTAATGTATAATGACTTACTGTAAATATATAGCTCTTGAAATAGCACTTTCTCTGTAACTAGCTGACATTGTAACTATAAGGTGTGAAGGATAGATGAAATTGTTTATGTAATAATCTAAGATGAGGTCTGATAAAGACCTTTTGTGCCCTCTGTAATGCTTTTTGCGCTACCGCTCACAGGATGGGTATGGGGTGCACAATAAACTAGCGGCCTCCGGTGGCAACAATCAATCAAATGAGTGTGTGTGGGGGGGGGGGGTATGGGTTTGAGAGATGGGGTGCCTGAGTGGAGGGGTTAGTCATGGTTGGAATGGGTGGATTAAAGGCTCGATGGGGTGCTTCCCTGAGACGGTCCGGTGGATGACCAGCCGAAAAGAAGGTTGGGATAGATACCCATTACGGCATGATGGGTGATATGCCATGGGTGATTATGCCGAATGGGTTGAAAGTCCCATTTTGGGACCCTCAAAATGGGGGGGGGGATACAGGGGTAAGCTGGCTCCCAATCTTAGAGGTCAGAGATTTATGAGTGTGAAGGGAGAGAGAGATGAATGAGGATGGGGGATTAAGAATGAGGCGATGAGCGTGTGTGTGGGTTTGGTTAAGGGTGCAGAGATGAGGTCACAAGTGAGGAGAGAGACTGTGAGGTGACGTTATACCTGTGAGGGGCTGGTGGGGGCGCTGCCGGCGTCGCTGCCGGTGGGGGGGTTGACGGCGCCCTCCGTCACCGCACTCTGTAAACAAACCCAGAGTGAGCGACATCTCACCTCAAGGACGACATTTAATTCTTCAGATTAATCACAAACATTCACTCGTGAGTAGGGTGGGTTTTTTTTAGCATTAGCCTATACTGGACTGGTGAGTGTTCACTCTGCGTGCATTTATTCACTCAAAGGCGCCTAACACTTCACTCACCAGGCTCATATAACGGAGTCAATTGTATTCAATCACGAGGCAGTTTTCCACAATCAATCAATCAATCGCTTGCTCTCAACCCTTCACTCTCAGTTTCTCCCTTTTATCTTCTCACTCTCGGATCCACACTCTCGGCTCCACACTCTCGGCTCCACACTCTCAGCTCCTCACTCTCAGCTCCCCACTCTCGGCTCCTCACTCTCGGCTCCACACTCTCAGCTCCACACTCTCGGCTCCACACTCTCGGCTCCTCACTCTCAGCTCCCCACTCTCGGCTCCTCACTCTCGGCTCCTCACTCTCAGCTCCTCACTCTAGACACACACTAGAGCCACAGACACGGGTGAAGAACACGGCGAGAGACGTAAATAACTGACCATCAAACGAGCAGATTATAGAGGCTGACTCTGCCTTAGTGTGATAGGTGATATTATAGAGAATCCCAGCAGTAAACTGCCCGTGGTTGGACGGCTGGGGCTTAGGATCTGAAGCTCGGCCTTGTAAGCTACAAACAGGTGAGAACATTAAAGTACTCCCAATCTTTCACTCTGCTACAACTCTGGAACTTGTAATTCTTTGATGTAAATTTTATTTTATTCAATTCCTTTAGCCTCAAATTTATTTATCCCCTTTACAACCAATCTTTCACTCGCAACTGTGTATACTCAATTCTTCACCCTCAACTCTTCACTCTGGCTTTCACGCTAAGTTTTCACTCGATCAGTGACAGTGACTGGGACCCCTAGAATCTCTTGACTCTCTCCAACACCATGATCATAACATTCTGCACTCAATCTTATTATTCACTCTGTCCTTCCTGTAATTCCCCCCCCCTCCTCCCCCCACCCCTCGAGTCGAACTCCACATCACCCTCCACCCGCTGTTGCACTCTCACCCATCCCATCCAAAGGAGTGAGACACTCTTGTCTCACTCCCTCCTCATCCCTCCACTGTTCCCTCCACAGTACCGAGAGGGGGGAGGGGGGGAGTGGGAAGAGATCGTTGAAGGGGAGGTTCATTATTCCACGTCAACATCACTTTAATCATCTTACACCCCTCTCCTCTCCCCTCTGATGGCCTGCTCTCTCTCTCTCTCTCTCTCTCTCTCTCTCTCTCTCTCTCTCTCTCTCTCTCTCTCCCTCTCCCTTGAGCTTTACCTTGGCGTGGTCTGCACCGGGCGTGGTGGGGGTCGAAGCCGTGCCTCGCTTATTTTTGCCCGTGGCGGCGTTCTTGTGCTCGTTGGCCTCAGCGTTGGTGATGCCGTCCTGTTTCTTCCACTTGGTGCGGCGGTTCTGGAACCAGATCTTCACCTGCGGGACAAGAGAGAGTGTGTGTGTCAGTCGGGGGCTCGCTGGATGCTGCTGCTGCTTCTGGCAGCTATATGGCAGGTAAATGATGGCAGGTGGCAACATGAATGTGTTGTAATAGTAACATTTTTATCATGACTGGAGAGAAATATATCTATATAAACATGTCTGCCAATGTAATACCAGTCACTTTACAGCTTGAGCAATAGCGACATAAGGCAGTATTATCATCCTGGACTAGACGTTTTCTGACAATTTGAATACGTTAAGAAGCCAACCGTTGAAGATTATTAATTAGAGCCTTGAGAAAGAGATTGATAGAGAGATATACTCCCGTGAGTGAGACCTGATCACCCTAGAAACATATCAGCCGAAAACACACACACACGTAATTAACACATATGTAATCCAATTAAATGTACGCCATAATACCTATCACATGTAGAGTTTGTTCATACAGGGAACGTTGAAATTGTGTTTCATTAAATTGCGAGTCATTAGCTTGCTTGTTACAGGTTTTTATAGCTGGTTTCTTCCACGGGAAGGTTGTGAGGCGGTGCCTGGTGTGCCTCTCCTCACGCCCTGGTGAGCACCGTGACCACCAGGTGAGCACCGTGACCACCAGGTGAGCACCGTGACCACCAGGTGAGCACCGTGACCACCAGGTGAGCACCGTGACCACCAGGTGAGCACCGTGACCACCAGGTGAGCACCGTGACCACCAGGTGAGCACCATGACCACCAGGTGAGCACCATGACCACCAGGTGAGCACCGTGACCACCAGGTGAGCACCGTGACCACCAGGTGAGCACCGTGACCACCAGGTGAGCACCGTGACCACCAGGTGAGCACCATGACCACCAGGTGAGCACCGTGACCACCAGGTGAGCACCATGACCACCAGGTGAGCACCGTGACCACCAGGTGAGCACCATGACCACCAGGTGAGCACCATGACCACCAGGTGAGCACCGTGACCACCAGGTGAGCACCGTGACCACCAGGTGAGCACCGTGACCACCAGGTGAGCACCGTGACCACCAGGTGAGCACCATGACCACCAGGTGAGCACCATGACCACCAGGTGAGCACCGTGACCACCAGGTGAGCACCGTGACCACCAGGTGAGCACCGTGACCACCAGGTGAGCCAGGTGGAGCACGACTACCTACACACCCTGGGGGGGGGGGAGCTAGGCTCATCTCCCTCTAGGTGTTATAAAGCAGTTTCCTTGAAGAGATCAAACGACTTATCTTGAGGTTATCTTGAGATGATTTCGTGGTTTAGCGTCACGGCGGCCCGGTCCTCGACCAGGCCTCCTTTTTATTACACACACACACCCTCTTCCCCAGAAAGTAGCCCGTAGCAGCTGTCTAACTCCCAGGTACCTATTTACTGCTAGGTAATCAGGATGAAAGAAACAGTGCCCATTTGTTTCCACCTCCACCGAGGATCGAACCCGGAATCGTAGGAACAAGAATGCCGAGCGCTGTCCACTCAGCTGTCAGGCCCCACTTATGACTACCTCTACGTCCATAAGAGTAACATAAGACCTGTGCCACCTGGTGGCCCTGGAAGCTCATATGATCGATCACGAATGACAGAAATATAATTTATATTACAACAAAAAGCCGAGAATTAACTACACTACGCTAAGCCGAGAATTAACTACACTACACTAAGCCGAGAATTAACTACACTACACTAAGCCGAGAATCAATCTTATAAAAGTCCTCTATAATGAGTCCAGGAAAGGAAGAGGAGCTGGAAAAGGATGTGGAAGAGACGGGAACGTTGAAGCAAATTACCCTCACCTCTTGGGAGATAAAATTTACACCCACAAACACGCCTAACTAAAAAAAATAAAAATGATAAAAAAAATAGAGCAGAAGGAGTTGAAGACAAAAAACGTGTCGGCCCATCAGGGGGACTAAGTTATAACGGAAGGTGGAGATCTAATGCACTTCCCGGAGCCCCCCACAGTAGCTCGCCCCCTCCCCCCACCCCCTCAAGTTGCTCGCCTCTTTTACGTGTCTCAGATGATAATGATTTTTGTTGACTCTCTTCTACAGGAAGTCTGAGGAGGGAGGGAGGGAGAGGGAAGGAGAGAGGGAGGGAGGGAGGGGTAAGGAGAGAGGGAGGGAGGGAGGGAGACAGAAGGAGAGAGGGAGGGAGGGAGGGAAGGGATACTCTCTCTCTCTTTGTGCCAGGCTTAAGATGTTGTGATGGGTTAAGTTGATATTTCTTGTATCGTGTTTGGTAAGTTGCACACACACACACACACACACACACACACACACACACACACACACACACACACACACACACACACACACACACACACAACATACAGTCATATATATGGAGGATGCCTCAGAACGCGTGACTTAACAGTGTTTGGCTAATGAAGAAAAAACGCCGAGAGATTAAGACCAGTAAATTAACTCAGAACACTTTCTCTTCCTCCCTGAGGAAGTCACCGTTTAGGGCTGCAGACTCGCTCCAAGTTGCTGTGCTGCTGAGTGTGTACTCACCTAGTTGTGCTTGCGGGGGTTGAGCTCTGGCTCTTTGGTCCCGCCTCTCAACTGTCAATCAACTGGTGTACAGATTCCTGAGCCTACTGGGTTCTATCATATCTACATTTGAAACTGTGTATGGAGTCAGCCTCCACCACATCACATGTGTGTGTGTGTGTGTGTGTGTGTGTGTGTGTGTGTGTGTGTGTGTGTGTGTGTGTGTGTGTGTGTGTGTGTTCACCTAGTTGTGCTTGCGGGGGTTGAGGTCTACTCTTTCGGCCCGCTTCTCAACTGTCCAATCAACTGTTACTAACTACATTTTTCACAAACACACACACACACACACACACACACACACACACACACACACACACACACACACACACACACACACACACACACACACACACACACACACACACACACACACACACACGTACGTGTGTGTGTGTATTAGTGTGTGTGTAATGAGAGGAATCAGGTGCAGCAGCTGTGTGGTGCAGCAGATATGAGGTCCAGCAGGTGTGAGGTGCAGCAGGTGTGTGAGGTGCAGCAGGTGTGTGAGGTGCAGCAGGTGTGTGAGGTGCAGCAGGTGTGTGAGGTGCAGCAGGTGTGTGAGGTGCAGCAGGTGTGTAAGGTGCAGGAGATAGTAGGTCCAGCAGATGAGGTCTAGTAGGTGTGAGGTCCAGCAGGTGTGAGGTCGAGCAGATATGAGGTCCAGCAGATATGAGGTCCAGCAGGTGTGAGGTCCAGCAGGTGTGAGGTCGAGCAGGTGTGAGGTCCAGCAGGTGTGAGGTCCAGCACGTGTGAGGTCCAGCAGGTGTGAGGTCCAGCAGGTGTGTGTGGTGCAGCAGGTGTGTGAGGTGCAGCACGTATGAGGTCCAGCAGATATGAGGTCCAGCAGATATGAGGTCCAGCAGATATGAGGTCCAGCAGATATGAGGTCCAGCAGGTGTGAGGTCCAGCAGGTGTGAGGTCCAGCAGGTGTGTGTGGTGCAGCAGGTGGTGACAGCGGGTGTGTGTGGTGCAGCAGGTGTGTGTGGTGCAGCAGGTGTGAGGTATACCACCAACACCACCACCAAGTGTCGCCAGATTCAGCTCCTCAGGATAATCAAAAAACCTCTCAAGTCGCCCCCCCAAAAACCCTCTGTAATTTCTAGGATAAACTTTAGTAATTATCCCGAGCAAAGAGCAAGGCTCTAAAAGTTGGGCTGCCCCGGGGGGGGGGGGGGGATAAAGAGGAGGAGGGGGGATAAGGGGGGGATGTGGAGGGAGGATGGGGCGGGGGAGCGTGGGAGGTGGGGGGGGGGGGGCGGTGGAGAGGGGTGAGAGACGCCATTAAATTAATCCTCGAGGCTAATAAAGTTGATCTCCCTGGTCGACCTCCGCCGCGCGAAATCACAGCCTAACTGCTCATCTTAACTACCCCCTTCCAACCTCGGTTAACTGCACAGGTTAACTGCTTAATGGGGAGGCGGAGGAGTATATAAACATCTCCTTCAGGTACATGGTTATATATACATCGCCGTGTGTGTGTGTGTGTGTGTGTGTGTGTGTGTGTGTGTGTGTGTGTGTGTGTGTGTGTGTGTGTGTGTGTGTGTGTGTGTGTGTGTGTACTCACCTAGTTGTGCTTGTTTTGGGGGGGGCAGGGGGTTGAGCTCTGGGTCTTTGGGCCCGGCTCTTGACTGTCAATCAGCGGATTTTTTCCACATACAAACACACATAAAACACACACACACCCAGGAAGTGTGTGTGTGTAGTGTTTGTGTAGTACTCACGTAATTGTGATTGCGGGGGTTGAGCTTTGGCTCTTTGGTCCCGCTTCTCAACTGTCAATCAACTGGTGTACAGATTCCTGAGCCTATTGGGCTCTATCATATCTACATTTGAAACTGTGTATGGAGTCAGCCTCCACCACATCACTGCCTAGTGCATTCCATTTACTAACTACTCTGACACTGAAAAAGTTCCTTCTAACGTCTCTGTGGCTCATGTGGGTACTCAGTTTCCACCTGTGTCCCCTTGTTCGCGTCCCACCAGTGTTGAATAGTTTATCCTTGTCTACCCTGTCAATTCCTCTGAGGATTTTGTAGGTAGAGATCATGTCTCCCCTTACTCTTCTGTCTTCCAGTGTAGTAAGGTGCATTTCTCGCAGCCTTTCCTCGTAACTCATACCTCTTATTTCTGGGACTAGTCTAGTGGCATACCTCTGAACTTTTTCCAGCTTCGTCTTGTGTTTGACTTGGTACGGGCCCCATGCTGGGGCCGCATGGTGTGTGTGTGTGTGTGTGTGTGTGTGTGTGTGTGTGTGTGTGTGTGTGTGTGTGTGTGTGTGTGTGTGTGTGTGTGTGTGTGTGTGTGTGTGTGTGTGTGAGACACAAGGACTGTAACAACGCCCAGATCATCCCCGTTGCTTCAGTCCGCCTATATATAACTTTAGCTGCTGTTTCTTCTTCAATTGAAGACGCTGTTAAAGATGTTTATGGTGTAGGCTTTCCGAAGGGGGGCGGGGGCGGCGCATGTGTGGTGGGGTGGTGGTGGTGGCAGCTGTGTGGTGTCAAGCGACCACCGCGGAGGGGGGGGGAGTG